TCATGAACGATGTTGAATTTTATCAAATGCTTTTTTAGCGTCTATTGAAATGATCATATGGTTTTTAATCCTTTGATCTGTTTGTATGTTATAGCACACTGATTGATTTGCATATGTTGAACGATTCTTTCATCCCAGAGATAAAATCCCACTGGGGATTCATGATGAATGATCTTTTTAATGTATTGTTGAATTTAGTTCACTAGTACTTTGTTAAGGATTTTTACATTAATATTCATTAGTGATATTGGCTTATAGTTTTCTTTTTTTCAGATGTGCCTTTGTCTAGTTTTAGAGTCAAGGTAATACTGGCCTTATAGAATGAGTTTGGAAGTATTCCCTCCTCCTCTATTTTTTGGAATACTTTGGGTAGTATTGGTATTAGTCCTTTAAATGTTTGGTAGACTTGAGCAGTGAAACCATCAGGTCCCAGGCTTTTCTTTACTGTGAGACTTTTTATTACAGCTTTGTTTGATGATCTTGATATTTGTTATTGATTTGTTCATGTTTTGAATCATCTTCTTGGTTCAATCATGTTACATTATATGTTTCTAGGAATTTGTCCATTTATTCTAGATTTTTCCAATTTATTGCCATATAGTTGCTCTAATCATAGTAACCACTAATGATCCTTTGCATGTCTGTGGTATCAGTTGTACAATCTCCTTTTTTGTGTCTGATTTCATTGATTTGGATGTTTTGTCTTCATTATGTCTTTTCTTCTACTAATTTTGGGTTGCTCTTGCTTTCCTAATTTTTAAGATGTATCATTAGGTTGTTTATTTGAAGCTTTTCTTCTTTATTGATGGAGTCACTTCGGGCTATAAACTTCCCTCTTAGTACTGCTTTGGCTATATTCCATAGGTTTTCATATATTGTATTTCCATTGTCATTTGTTTCAGGAAAATTTCCAATTTCCTTCTCAATTTCTTCACTAACCCACTCATCATTCTGGAGCATATTGTTTAATTTCCCCATGTTTGTATAGTTTTCAGAATTCTTTTTATTTATTTCCAGTTTTATTCAGTTTTGGTCAGAGAAGATGTTAGATATTATTTCAACTTTTTTGACTGTTTTAAGCTGTTCTGTGACGTAGCATGTGATTTATCTTTGAGAATGAGCCATGCACTGAGGAAAATAATGTATATTCTGCAACCATTGGATTAAATGTTTTGTAAATATCTGTTGCCTCCATTTTGTCTAAAGTGCAGATTAAATTTGAAGTTTCTTTTTTGAGTTTCTGTCTGGAAGATCTGTTCAGTGCTGAAAGTGGGATGTTGAAACCTCCAGCTATTATTGTATTGGAGTGTAACTCTATATTGTTAAAACTGTTATATCCTCTTGCTGAATTGACCACTTCATTATTATATAGTAACCTTTTTTTCCTTCTTTTGTAGTTTTTGCCTTGAATTTATTTTATCTGAAATAAATATAGCTACTCCTACTCTTTTTTAGTTTCTATTGTCATGGAATATCTTTATACCTTTATTTTTAGTCTATGATTGTCTTTATAGATGAATCTCATTTCTTGTAGGCAGCAGATCAATGGCTCTTTTCCCCCACTACCCCATGTTTCGCCACTCTGTGTCTTTTGATTGGAGAGTTTAGTCCATTTAGATGCAATGGAATTATTGATAACTAAGGACTTACTCCTTCCAGTTTATTACTTGTTTTCTGGGTGTTTTGTCATCTTATCCTCCTTTTTTTTCCTTCCTGTCTTCCTTTTATTGAAGATTCTGTCTAGTAATATGATTTAGTTTTTGGCTTTTTATTTTTTGTGTATCTCTTGTATGTTTTTTAGTTTGAGGTTACCATGAGGCTTGCAAGTACTACTTTATAACACATTATCTTAAACTGATAACAACTTAACACTGTTTGCATAAACCAACTAACAGGCAAAAAGAAATGAAATAAAAACTCTACATCTGAACTATGTCTCTGCTTTTAAACATTTTGTTATTTCCCATTATAACTTATTGCACTATGTCTTGAAAAGTTTGCAATTATTATTCTTTATTTTTTCAGGGTTTAATCTTTCCACTAAAGAGTAGTTTACACACCACAGTTACAGTGTCACAATATTCTGTTTTTCTGTGTAATTACTATTACCAGTGAGTTTTTTATCTTTGGTGATTACTCATTACCCATTAATGTTCTTTTCTTTCTTACTAAAGTGCTTGCTTTAGCATCTATTCTAGGACAGATCTGGTGTTAAAGAAATACTTCTGCTATTGTTTGTCTGGGAAAGTCTATATCTCCTTTAAGTTTAAAGCGTATTTTCACTGGATATACTATTCTGGGTTAAAAGATTTTTTTTTCTTTAGCAGTTTAAATATGTCATGACATTGTCTCTTGGCCTATAAGGTTTCCAATGAAAAATCTGCTGCCAGATGTATTGGACCTCCATTGTTTGTTATTTGCTTACTTTCTCTTGCTGATTTTAGCATCGTTTATCCCTGATCTTTGGGAGTTTGATTATTAATGGCCTTGAGATAGTCTTCTTTGTGTTAAATATCCTTGGTGTTGTATAACCTTCCTGTTCTTGGATATTGCTATCTTTCTTTAGGTTTGTGAAGTTTTCTGATATTATCCTTTTAAATAATCTTTCTACCCCTATCTCTTTCTTTGTTTCCTTTTTAAGACCAATTAACTCTTAGATTTGCCTTTTTGAGGCTATTTTCTAGATTTGGTAGGCATGCTTCATTCTTTTTAATTCTAATTTTGTCTCCTCTGACCACATATTTTTCAATAGCGTGACTTTAAGCTTATTAATTCTTTCTTCTGTTTGATCAATTCTGCTATCAAAAGACTCTTCAGTATGCCAATTGCATTTTTCAGGTCCAGAATTTCTGCTTGATTCTTTTATTTCAATCTCTTTATTAAATTTATCTGATAGAATTCTGAATGCCTTCTCTGTGATATCTTGAATTTCTTTGCATTTCCTCAGCAAAGCTATTTTGAATTCTCTGTCTGAAAGGTGACATATCTGTTTTTCCAAGATTGTTTTCTTGTGCCTGATTTAGTTTGTTTGGTGAGGTCATATTTTCCTGGATCGTCCTAATACTTGTAGATGGCTGTCTGTGTCTAGGCATTGAAGTGTTAGGTATTTATTATAGTTTTCGCAGCCTGCGTTTGTTTGTATCTGTCCTTCTTGGGAAAGATTTTCAGGTATTCAAAAGGTCTTGGATGTTGTGATCTAAGCTTTAGGGGGGACCCCAAGCCCAGTAATGCTGTGGTTCTTAGAGACTCATAAAGATACTGCCTTGATGGATTTGGACAAGATCTGAAAGAATTCTGCAGATCACCATACAGAGACTCTTAGACTCTTGACCTCTTCTCTTCTTTTTCTTTCAAAAAAAATGGGGTCTCTCTCTCTCTCTCTCTCTCTCTGTGTGTGTGTGTGTGTGTGTGTGTGTGTGTTCTGAACCACCTGAAGTGGGGTGGAGTGACACAAGCACCCCTCAGCTGACCCAGGACTATGCTGGGTCATACCTGAAACTGGAACAGCACTTGCTTTTGCCCAAGACCGGCTGTAACTCCTGGCTATTGCATTTTCTCTCAAGACCCTGGGGCTTTACAATCAATAGGTGGCAAAGCCAGCTAGCCTGTGTCCTTCCATTCAGGGCACTGTGTTATCCCAGTCCCCAGACAGGTACACTGGAAGCCACAAACTAGAGTCAAAAACCAAAGAAGTCTTTCTGGCGTTCTGATGTACTGTGGCTGAGCTGAAACCACAAGACACAGTCCTTCCTATTCTTTCCTACCCATTCCAAAGAACGTTGAGCCTAACCTCATTGCCACTGTCACTGCAGACCCATGGTGAGTACTGCCAGACTACTGCCGATGTTACCTTAAGGTCCCTGGGCTCTTTAGTCAGCTTGCAGTGAATCTTGCCAGTCCTGAGATTCACCGTTCAGCATAGTGGACTCCCCTCTGGCCAAGGACAGGTCCAGAAATGCTGTGCAAGAGCCCAGTTTTGGAATCAGCAACCCCAAGAGACCACTTGGTTCTCTACACCACTGTGGCTGAGCTGGTACTGAGGTGCAAGACAAAGTCCCCTTTACTTTTCCCTCCACTTTTCTCAGGCTGAAGGAGTTTTGCCCTAATAGCCACCACAGTTTGGAATGTTCTGAGTCTCACTTGAAGCCAGCAAGCCATGAGTCTCACCCAAGCTTTTTATTGTATAACCTGGGTTTTGCTACTGGTTATGCAATAACCACGGGGTATTCAATTAGTAGGTAATGAAGGCTGCTAGTACTGAGTCCCTCCTTTCAAGACAATCGGTTCTTTTCTGGTGCAAGATGTCTAGAAATGTTGTCTTGGAGCTAGAGCCTGGAACAGGCGCCTGATAACTCTGACAGATGCCCTACTCTGCTGTGACTGAGGTGCTATCCAAGATGCAAGACAGAGTCCTTTCCACTCTTCCCTCTTCTCTTCTTAGTGGAAAGGAGAGGTGTCTTTTGAAGCTTAATTGCCTCAACTTGTGTCTCACTAGGTCATGTGGCCCAGCAGTCTACTAGCTCTGGGCCCAGTTCATCACTAGGACTCACCTAAAAGTTGCACTGCTTGTTTCAGGTTGCCTTTCCAGTTTATTTGGAGCCCCAGAACACTTTAGTCCACAATGGCAAGGCTTGTGGTAATTCAAGTTTCGACAGATGGGATCAGACATATCCCTCTGGCTCAGGCTATTTAAAGGCTCCCTCCATGGCCAGAAGTCAACCGAGTTTGGTGTGGTTTTGCTCTCTTCTATAACAGGATACCACTGAGTTTAATGCCTTACAATTACTGTGGTCTCCCTTCCCCAGCACTCATAAATGCTCTTGACAACCTGCTGCTGCTGCTGCGCGTAGAGGAGGAGTGATGTTGGTAATTCAAAACTGTTCCTTCTACCTTTTCAGTGCCTCTTTCAGTGACACAAAGTTAAAGCAAGGCACTGAGTGCTCATCTGATGTTTGATTGTTATGAAGGTGTTTTGTTTGTTTGTTTGTTTGTTTGGATAGTTGTTAAATTGATGTCTTTATGGAGGAGATGATTGGTGGAGCCTTCTATTCTGCCTTCTTGTTCTGCCTCCCAAAGGTAAGAATTTTTTAATAATAGGGAAATGATTCATTCATGTGTTTGTAGTCACCAAAACAATATTTGTGAAAAGTTTCTCTGAAAAGAAGGATTTATGTTACACTATAAATTGAGATAAAGTCAATTTACATAGAATTGTATTTCTTATTAACATTAAAATTTTAACTATATATTTATCTCAATTATTAAAATAAATTGAAACATGCATTATTAATACATAAAATAAATAGTCCATTGAATGGCAACCTAGCGTTCACGTATCGTGTTATACACATTGGGGTACTGAACAAGGTAGCTAGTATCTACTTATTTTCTGGTGGAGTTGTAAGACATATTTTACAAAAAAAGGGGAGAGTGAACATTGGATCAAATAAAATGCTAACAAGTGGTGTTTGAATAGTTGAATGTAGTTTGTTTCAAAAAAATGACTGATCTGATATATATTGACATTTATATCTGTACATTTTGTGAGCAAGCAAAAGTGCTTCTGGTGTTTTAGAGTTATAGTATTGTCATGTCATTATAGATCCTCCATATTTGGTCAAATGAACTTTATATAATTATGGGAAGACTTTTTGTTGTTGTTCTTGTTCTATTTATATGCTCCCAAGTTATTTATATTATATTTTTTTAAATTTAAAAGTCACACTATTATTTAATTTTATGAATTTTTAAATCATGTAGTACGAAACTCCTTTTCTGATATTTCACAATCTCCTTTTGTTGAAAATGTCCACCTCATAGTGATGAAATGTGAGTAGTGGAGAGCTATACTGAATAATCTGCTGACAAATAAACTTCATAGTATTTTGTTACTTTATTTTCCCAGAGAAGACAAATTTTACATTTGCATACATTGTGTTCTTTTTCTACTATTTTTTTTTTTTTAATTTTCCCTTATTTCTTTAGGGTATGCTCAAGAAATAACCAGGTCTGTTAAGATATAGGTGAAAAGTGACTTTCAAAATGATACCAAATCTATTATATTCTCTATTATATTGTATTCCATTACGTATATATAGTCTGATGGCAGAATCCTCAAAGAAATTCAGGGCTTTGGGGAAAAAAAAAAAAGAAAAGTACAGTGATTGAAAATGCATCGTTTCTTGGTTTATTGGTATAATATATGTGCGAGAGATAAACAGCCAGCCTCTTAAAAGGACTACAGTAGAACTAGTTTGCTCAGGCAACAATTGGATTTCACTAAGAGTGACAAAGTGGATGAAACCTTTAGAAAACAATGCTGAGTGCATTTTGATAATGATTTATTGTGAATGCCAGATGACACAGTGAAATGTTTCCAGAAGATGGGAGAAGTGAAAGATGTGGTTACACAATGTAATGCATTAAAATTAAATTCTAAGTGATGAGAGTAACCTGAGCTGCTTATGTTGACTGACATAGGAATAAAGAATGTGATAAAATTATGAAAGTCTTCTAGCAGGAAGTGGTGGAGAGACTTTGAGTCCTAGAGTGGTATGGGGGAAGCTATTTCCAGAATCATGCAGAGCTTTTGGTCTCTGGTGAATTTATCTCTATCAGCTGAGATCTCTAGGACATAGTGGACAGAGAGTGGGGAACGTTTACCCAGAGTTCAGTTACTCTCTTCTCATCTGCAGATGAAAGCACACCAAACTGGGCTCTTACACCAAGTACATGAGTTTCCTTTGATTTCTATTGAAGCAGTTCTCTAGATTATCAAGGAAGGATATTGTTAAACAGTTTTATTTAATGTGTTTGAATTCTAAAAATAAAAAATGCAAATTATTGAAAAATAGCAAAGTATTTTAATTCTAAAAAGTATTTGTGTTATCCTGAAATATACCTGTGACACTAGGCCGCACAGAAGATAAGGTAGAAGTGAAAGGCTATCTTAATTTCAATTTATGAATGTTCTGTTACCAGAGCAGCAAAGTTACTTCTGCCTGTTTCATCAGTAAGATTAACTATTTTATGGACCCCAAATATATATTACAATGCAGTGCAGAAAGTTTAATCATAAGTTTCTTCTCAGACCTTAATGTGAATTCCTTAGTAATATTAACTATTTTATGAACCCCAAATATAGATTGCAATGCAGTGCAGAAAGTTTAATCATAACTTTCTTTTCAGACCTTACTGTGAATTGTCGCTGAGTCTCTGAAGGAGTTACTCCAGAAATCTTTTGTTGTTGTTGTTTTACATAAAGCCATTAAATATATAAAACTGAAATGTCTCAGTTGGACAACAGTGCATAAAGAAAGTCCTTTAGCTGAGCTGCTGATTTTGATGTGTAGCCCTCAACAGTAAATACACTACAGAACAGGTACTAAGAGGACCTCTTTGATGGATAAATAATGCTTATATAAAGAGCACTAAATTTGGATCCCATGCTATATCTAACCCAAAGACATTGGCTAATATTTTCTGAGCTCCATATATACCAGATACTGTGCCAGGTACTTTCATACCTCTCCTAATGTGTAAAACAACCTTAAGTAATAGGTAATTTTATCCTATGGTTTTAACCACTGCTCCTAGTATATCACCTGTCTTTGTGACTTTGTAATAAACATGAAACTCCTCCGGGCCTCAGTTAAATAAAAACTAAAGTGCTTATATACACACCTCTTATCAACAAGCTGAGGAAAAAGTATTGGGTTTTTTCCTCATTAAGTTTGCAAATAAATGTAGTTAATGATGTATGTGTAATAGAAGAAGGACAAAATTGAAGAACTTTAGAGGAATTTTTATTGAGATGTTCCTATCTGCTTGTGCCATTCACATTATTCAGTACTTGTGTTTTTTTTACCCAGTGTCCTTTGAGGCATTTTAGGATGTTGTTTGTAAATATTTTTAAAAATTTTAAAAGGCTTTGTAATTAAACAAATTAGCACAAAAGAGGTAAGTCAGCAGTCCTTCATTTGTGTTTTAATATTTTGTAACTTTTACAGGATATAAGACGTGGAACTGAACATTTATTTGGCTGATCCTCATCATGAACCGTGCTTTTAGCAGGAAGAAAGGTAAGCGTGGTCATTTTTTAAAACTTGGGAGTCAAGCCAATATTACTATGAACATAAGCAGAGATGTTAAGAAATCAGGTTTTTTTTCATTATTGTTGTCAAACCACCTGGCCCAGAAATGAAGTTAGATTAGAGCAACACAAATCTCCAAATGTTGCTAATTAGTTTTCTTTAGTTATCACCCTAGTGAAAGATCAAAGTTCTTTATTACACTGAGTTCATGATACATATGTGGCAGTATGTTGCCTGGCAATTTGAAGCTTTTTGTGAAATTGCAAAGCATAAAATGATTTGAAATTTCATCCTATCTTTACCTTATGTGGCCATATAATACTAAATTCCCTGGGCTGGCATAAGATTACAGTAACATACATTCATTCATAATTGTGTGTGTGCATGTGCACAGGCTTCATGTATTATTGAATAATATGTGAGGATTGGTAGTAGGTAAATTGAAAGCAGTGAGGCCAAAATAAGTTTGTTATTAATTTTTAGGTAAGGATTTAAATAAGTATGAATGCAATATTTATAATGATGACTATAGGACTGAAAGAAACAACTAGATATATATTATTTTTTAAAGGCAGAAAAACATGGCATTTGACAAACTATTTCATGATGCACTTATAAAGAAAGATAGAAAAGTAAGTATAACTTTGTCTAGTTCAGTGAAGTTTAAATAATGTATCCTTTTAATTCTCAAAGGAGTTATTTAATGGGTGACATGGGGCTGTCTCCTGTTTTACATATTATTAATGAATTGGGAGATAATACTTATATAATGATAATCAAATTCATAATGAAAGCAAGAAGGTAATGATACATGAATGATATAGTAGGATTACAGATGTGTGAAGAAAAAATGACAAGTTAGATCACATTTTACACTATAAACTTACTAAGATACTGCAGATTGTCAAACAAGGGTCCAGAAAATCTAAGGCTTTTATCATGATTCAAATATTGCTGTTATTTGGAAGATGCCCCTTGAGTGCTGTGTGTGTAAAAATGGCAGAAGAATAAAGTCAACAGTGTGATTATCAAAGGCTCTATGCCATTTTCTAATGTATGGTTAATGAATTGTCCAGAACCATGACTCGTATTCTGTTCAGTATCAGGCAGTCAGGCACTGTGTGTTCTCTTTTTGAAAGGTTACAGTGTTAACTGACACATAGTAACATTCTCAGATGAGAAAGACTGAGATGACTTCAGGACTTTCAGCCATGCAACAGGAAGCATGACTGAGAACCATTTTGTGGTAATGAGAGCTATCTTTCAATGTTTAAAGGACCATCATTTAGTCATGGGGTTGAGTTTAGTAAAGGGCAAATAGGTGTAAATGATAATGTTACTTATTTAATATAGGAGGAAAGAATTCCAAGAAAGTCACTTAAAAGTTTAATTAAATTACTCAAATTACTAGCTTGTTTTGGTCTCTGAAATGAGAAGTGTTCAAACATTTGGATGTGGCAGAGAAGATTAATATATTCAGTGGTAATTTAGATAATGTGACCTTTAAGGCACTTTTCAACCCTGGAAAACTAGAAAATTATTATTTTACTTATTTTTTTTCTGGATCAGGGGAAAGGAAAATGACATTGATTATGGTGTGTAGCTGCTTTTGGTTTACAACATGTAACAAAAGTAAAAGAAAATTTCTTTCATTCTTTTTACAAGTAACAAAATCTATAAATAATTATATGATATGTTGAAGTTTTTGTTTTATTTTTATATAGAGATGGGATCTTGCTACATTGCCAGGGCTGGTCTCAAACTCCTAGCATGAAGTGATCCTCCTGCTTTGGCCTCTCAAAGTGTTGGGATTATAGGCATGAGCCACTGTGCCCAACCTGAAGTATTTTTAATAAAGTAATAGAAACCTTACATCGCAACTTAACACTTTAATCATCCTAACTTATTTTTAATAAACACTTCCAGACCTTCTCTCTCTCTCTCTCTCTCTATATATATATATATGTGTGTGTGTGTGTGTGTATGTGTATATATATATATATATGTGTGTGTGTGTGTGTGTGTGTGTGTATATGTGTGTGTGTGTATATATATGTGTGTGTGTGTATATAATGTGTGTGTGTGTGTGTGTGTGTATATATATGCTTACAGTCCTCCCTTCCTGTTACTTTAAAGTTGAAGCTCCACATTTCTAATTTACTATTTATTTGAAGGGGGTTCATAATGGTTTTTCACTGAGAAATCCCAAGAGTTGGATAGTAATATGAGTAACCAGTAATTGTATATCTGTCTCATTTGAACACAGTGGGAGTACAACCATGGGAATAGTGAAGTGATTTGAAGAATCACAAGCAGAAGCACCTGTTCTTTCCTAATTTACTTTATTCTCTATTTTTCTTTAGATTTCTCTTATTTTTCAAGTCTAATGATTTAATCTCAGGAAATTCATTAATATTTTGCTCCAACCTCAAGTTAGAATTTGAACTGAAAATTTTACCTTAAGTTCACCAATCAATTCTGATTCTAACATTTGGTGAAGTTGTTAAAAAAATCAATCAATAGCATTATTTGACTAAATTTTAATTTGACATGAAAAACTTAAATTTTATGAAACAATTTCTATATCTTGAGAAGCTGAAACTATAATAATTATATCACTAGAGAATATTTAATTTTCGTGTTCCCAAAAAGTACCATAAACATACACTGTGTACAGTATCCTAAACAAAGCAAGATGGTCTTCTCTCAGTAAAAGCTTATCTCTTTATTTCATAGATATCCAATATACTTGGTCATCACATGTAATACTACTAAATGATTCTGAACCTAGAAGTCTAAGGAAAAAAGACCATCTTAAACCTAAACATAATTATGTTTTTTCTTTTAATTAAATCTCCAAATTAGCGAGTTCATATTTCTTGATTGAATTCACTGATTTTCTTTGCAAATGCTCTAATGGTGTTAGAGTTACTCAGAGATTCTGAAGAGTGCTGAATTTATTAGAGTCATATCATTTTGAGCTCTTTTGAAAAGCTCTTTAAAAATTAGTCAAATATAACCATATATTAAATTTTAATCATTGTCTTTGTTTTGGATTCCTTCCCTGTGTTAATTTTCTCTTTTATTTTAAAAATTCTATATTCTATTTATTACATCAAATATAAATCATTTAGTAAAAAAGCATTAAAAACGGCATGTGAATAAATAATCAAATAATCCAACTAATAACACTTTTTAAAAACTTAGTTGACATACTGTTGAGTAGATATCATAATGCACAGCATTAAAATTGAATATTTAAATGTTATTTTCTTTTTAATGAACATTTTATTCGAATATGTCTATTCATTAAACAGCATTTAGTTTTAAATTTAATGTGCTCAAAGTAGGTGTTTCCCCATTGTAAGCTTTTGTAATACAGAAATAATGAAGTTACTCTATATTTCTTGATGAGTTCTTAGTCTAAGTGCATTTTGAAAACCTAAACTTATTGACCCAGCAATCAGAGTACTTGATATTTGTCAAATATGTTGAAATGTTGGCATTTTCTTTCATGTAAGTGTTCATTATTGAGTTAGTGATTTTACCTTAATTCAAGGAAGGGAGACTCTTTCTAGAATGTCTATATTCCCATTTCTGCACATTTTTGTATATCTAATTCCTTCTGTGAACACATATAGTGACCAAGGACTGTCATGTGTATTTCCTACTCAAGATTTAGTCATATCTATAAGTTAATATAAAGAGTTATATTCTGTCAGTTTTTTGCCAAAGTAGATAAATTAGAATGACAGTATGAACTGATTTTGTAAATCCTTCAGGTTTTATAAATGTACTGCTCATACTTGAGGTTATGTAATAAGCAAGCACTAAATTATCAGCATTTGATATATGAATACAGATTTTTGTCATTGTAGGAACTGCAGCTTTTCCACTGGAATTTAATATTATGATTATTTTAGTCTGTCAGCAGAAGCAGCTTTGTATACTTTTTCTAGTTCGCTGCAATATGAGTCTCTAACAGAGGCAATTTCAACAGTTTTCAAGTAATAGTGGTTTATAGGAGAAATAAATTATTAATATCTCTCTGCCTTAAGATTGGTATGATCCATCATACTGAGAGTTTAGTCAGACTTTACATACTCCTTAGATGTGTTCCATGTTTTGGAAAGGAGACATGAAAAGAATTAGGAGAAGGAGTTAAAAGGAGAAATTGGACATCTTTTTATTTTCCTAAAAGTGTTTTTATTGTTTTGGTGTTTTGTTGTCTTGGAAGAGTATTGTGATTTACTTTTCTTTAATATATAAAAGCAAGACTATACCCCAAATCTAAGTACAAATTATTCTTGAATTAATCATATTACTATCCATTAGCAATCACAGAAAGTATAGTTAAGATGACAATCCATATAGAAATACAAATTTCACACATTAAATGTCAACCTCAATATTTTTTTGAAGCTTAGAATGTATTACTTTTCAAAACATTTCACCCCAGTATATGGCTATCACATATTCACTCTAGTAGTCAGAAATAGCCCCAGTTCTCTTGGTCCTTCATCTTTTGTTTGGAAATACTTGAGAATATTGCACTGTACCCCATAAACAAGTTTAATATAAATATAGTGCATTATTATTCAAATAGTATAAAATAATTTGCATTCTAAAAATATATGCCATATTCTCCATGCCTTCACATTTACCCATTTTAAGAAGAACATATTAACGGTATCAAATTAGTTTCTGTTAACAGCATTTAAAAAATATGAATTTAATGTTGAAATACTTTGTTAGTAATACAATATTGCCTTCCAGTACGTACTTATATATTTCATGCTAAAATAAATCTTTGATTTTGTTTTATTTATAATACTGATTCTAAATTTTTAAACTCTCATGAAAAATTAGATATAAAACTACGCTAATGGAGACAAAATACCATTGAAGATTGAGAAGTTTTACTCCAAATAAATGCAGATTCAAAAAGAAGCCAATTTATTTTGTGTAAACATTAACATTTTTTTCTCCTCCTTATGAATTCCTCAAAATATAGGAGAAGATATGTGGACTGTATTAATAAAGTTCAAAAATTAAATTAAAAATATTAGTAATACAAATATAAATAACAAAATGTAAATAATATATAATACAATTAGTTTCAATATATTCTATCTTTTTGAGTTAGTTTTATTTCTAATATTTTTAACATTTAGAAACATTTTGATTTACTGCATTTGAGATTATTTATATCCAAAACTTCTGAGAGAAGACCTTTGATCAATGTTTCTTCAAATTTAGAATAAAGATCTATCATAATATTATATTGATTTCCAAATGAACATAGTAAATTGGTATATTTCATCTTCATACAAATGCAGTTGTTAGTATAGTATAATTTCCCTTTAGAATAGCTAAATCTTGATGCTACAATATAATATTCACAATGAGTTAAAGAGCAGATTATATTTTATTGTTCCAGTAATTAAGAAAAAGACCCTCTAATTCATGAGAGCATAAAGTGAAAGAAGAAAGATACTTGTTTTAAATCACAAATGGATGTAAAAATCATAGCCCACTGGTGTTCTTTTTATATGTTCTTTTAAAATTCAGTATTATTTTTATTATTTGAAAACTTTAATAAGTAAAGCTAGGGACTTTTATACCAAAGAAAGAATTCTATATCACTTCCCAACTGCACTGTTCTTTTATCTGAGTGGTTATTCTTTCTCAATGTAGCAAAAGAATCTCAGAATTAGAAATACTCTACCCAGCTCAAATGCCCTACAAATGGTAATGCATGGCTATGACACCATGGAAATCTATAGTTTAACTCTGTTTTTTTTTTATTACAGATAAAACATGGATGCATACACCTGAAGCTTTATCAAAACATTTCATTCCCTATAATGCAAAGGTAAAAATAGTTCATATACTATTTAATTTTACTTTATTATTGTATTATTACTAATTCATGGCTAATCTTAGATTGCTTATATATTGACATTTCCTGGTTATTGATTCCTGAAAAAAGTTTACATAAATAAAATAATTGTGGTATAGGAAGTTATTTTTCTCTGTAGAATAGTTTCTTTTTTAAAAAATATATTCTTTAAAATTACTATTTAAGTCAAATATGTGTTTTCTTCAAGTGATTTTGGTCATTGTTAAAATTATTTGCAATATTATAGCCTGTAGGAACTCAAACAACTAACAAATTAGCTTTCTTTAAAAACATTTTTATGTTGTATTACATGACCTAAATGTAAATCCTGCAAATGAAATAAGCTGCAATTTTAATAAATGTAATTATCATTCAAGATAAAAGGAGCAAAGTTGAAATTTTTATTTTATTTTTTGAGATGGAGACGTGCTCTCTAGCCATGCTGGAGTGTAGTGGGGAGGTCTTGGCTCACTGCAACCACCACATCCTGGGTTCAAGCAATTGGCCCACCTCAGCCTCTTGAGTACCTGGAGTTACAGGCACATGACACCATTCCCAGCTAATCTTTGTATTTTTAGTAGAGACAGGGTTTCACCATGTTGGCCAGGCTGGTCTCGATCTCCTGACCTCAAATGGTCTGCCTGCCCCAGCCTCCTAAGATGCTGGGATAACAGGCCTGAGCCAGTCTGCCCAGCCTAAATTATTTTAAAAAGCACACCAAAATATGCTCTTTAAAAGTTCTTTTGTTCAAGTTGCTGCATTTTAATCGAGGAGTGGAAACATTAATCTATACTCTGTGTCTTTAAAGATTTCATTTGTTCTTGAAAAACTGGACAAATGAGTGAATTCAGTTTACAACAGGGACTTTAAAGAAAGGTGCTATTTTGTAGTTAGTGATCACCAAACTTGTAATAATTTTCAGGGAAGTATGAGTCAAAATTTGGAAGAGACAGAAATGAATTAAGGAAGGGATTAGAAATATTAGAATCAAATGTAAAAGCAGCTGAACTTTAGAGACAGAATAGGGGAAAACAAAACTTATATCTTTATAAGAGAACTTAAAGGTTTATGGATTTATAAAATATACACTGGGATACAGTGAGATTAGGCATAACAATTATTTCAGGAAAAATATACGAATGTTTATTGAGGAGAAAGTTCATGGTGTTTAGTAGTGAACATCTAGGGTTCTTATCTAAGTCTGAATCAGAAGGAAGAAATATCTAAAAGCCCATCTAGAAGAAGTTATTCCAGAGCTGTTGCTCAGTAGTGAAATTTAGAGAGTGCACCATCTCTTATTTTTTTTCTTGCTGACTTAGCAGCAAAGGAAATGCTCTGAAATGTTTTCTGTATGAACATATTATATTTGAAATCACTATAGTCCTTATGAATTTTTCTATAAACTTAACATAAAGGTTGATTGCCATAATTTAGCATGAAAAGTTTAGTTAACTGAATGAGAAAAATTGTTTATGTTATCCATCATTTCTACAGATATTATTCATATTAGCTATTGGTATACTATATGAAATCTATACTGAAAAATATTTTAATCTGGAAAGCTGCTATGATTTTAAAGTGCATGCTCAGTTTTTGATATTATCAATTATAGTGGAATTATATGCTCCATTTGAAACCATCAAGATTATTTTTATGTGACTGATATGTCTCATTTGAAAAACAGCTTCATAAAATATTAAAAGGTTATATTATAATTAGATCTATCTTTGACTCTGCCAGTCATTATGCTTGTCTACATGGAAAAGTTGCTTCTGCCAATTCATTGAAGCATAATGATTTTAAGACATTCTATAGAAAGTGGAGAGTGCAGAAACATCTTCCCAGACTTGGGCCAGTAAAATATGGAAGGGCAGGATGGCTTTGTCTATTCTGAGTGATAATGTATATTGTATGTGTACCAAGTAGCATTAAAATCATTTGAAGAGTATGTTTTTTCTGAATTCCTTTGTTTGTAGCACTTTTTAGGTTGACCTTATAGTAGAATTATTTTTGAAGATATTCTTGTTATAGAATATGCCACTTGAAAACCAAATCCATGACCACAGAAAGTAACTTAGCACAATTAAAAAAAAAAAATACAGAGTCTAGAGCTAGATTGCCTTGGTTTATATCATGACTCCAACTGTGTGCCTTTGGGAAAACTAGTTACAGTGTGCCTTTGGGAAAATTGCTTAACCTATGTCTATGATTACTGATCAATAAATAGGGATAGTAACAATAGTAATTTCTCACTTGAGTTGTTAAGGGGTTAATGCTACAACAGTGTCTGAAATAGTGGAATTATTTTCTCAGGTTAACGTCAATTCTGTCCCTCAGTTCTGTTCTTAGAACTATTCAATTGATCAGTTCTAGCCCATCCGGATTATCCAGGATTATCTCCTTTACATAAAGTGAAATGATTAGAGATGTTAATCATATCTATGAAATAACTTTACTGCAACACCTAGATTAGAATTTGATTGAATAACTGGGCACTATAACTTAGCCAAGTTGACACTTTAAATTAATCTCATACAGGTATTAATGATGGACAAGGTTAAAAAGGCAAATTGGGAAGGAAGGCTTTGAATGGCAGAAGCAGCAGTTTGGACTGTAAACGAATTCAACAGGATTTTAGGAAGATAAATCATAAGCGATTTTAAAAAAAAAAAAAAGTCAGTTTGGACCAGGAGAGATAGAATGACATTAAATTTCCTAGGAAGTTATTTTAATGGTCCAAGTGTGTGGTATAAGTTTACAATAGGGTAGTAGATAAATTTCTAGTGGAAAAGAAAGATATGCTTAATATTCCAGAGGAAGAACTGATGTAACATCGGAATGGTATATAAGTAGAGAATAAGAAAAATACCTATTTTCATCCTGGCTAAAAGGGAGAACGATCACACCATTAGAAGATTATTGTCACTTCACTCACTTTTGGCGTCCACTGGTTACAAATTAATCTGATAAATTCAACAGAATTCTTTAAGAATTATTATTCTCCCTGGGGAAATACGTAATAACATTTATGTTGAAGTGTCTTCAGTTTTTTTTTTTT